TATCGCTCAATGACGTTTGTTTTGTAGGTATATCATCAATGGAGCACTGTGATGCAGATGCGTACCCGAAATTCTTCCAAATACGAGTTATTCTCCTTTTTGATTGTGCATTTTTTTAAGAAATACACGACATAATTATTTCCTGATTTATAGACTTGAAAGATTTATTTTATGTTTTTCTTTTTGGATACTAGAATTAACTTAAATGCCTTCTGAGTTTGAAGTTAAGCATTTGGACAGTGCAAGCTGTATAGGTGTGTGTTCATATGCTTGCGTACTCCACCCGCCTGGCGTGCGTACTCTTACACACCCCATATGGTAAGAGTACGCAAGTGCAACGGTTCAGAAAATGTCAGTTTTAGACCACTTCCATTTACGCTGAAGGATCGTTGCCCCATGGGTTGATGGCTAATTCAATGAACTTTAATATTCCCTATTTGCGATTTCTTTCCTTCAAATATTAAACAAATGAGAGCAAGAAATCCACTAAGTGCGTACTCTTATACGACTTCACCCTATGGGCTCATATTTCCATTTGTCACCATTCGGGGAGAGCTAGATGTCTTGGACGTTTTAACCAGTGACTTAAAATTGTTGTGCCTCACATTACTGAGATGCGTTGTTCTTTCTCTATATTTTCAGCTGGGATTTCCTTGAGGTTGAAACCAATGGCGACTATCCCGACAACGACCAGGCCTATGCCGCCGGCCTGGTGGAGGCCTATCTCACCAAAGATCTCGTTGTTATGCACTGGAACGTAAGTGCTAGTTGTGATTGTATCGAGCGAATAAGCTGCTGTTTCCTGTAATAATTCGTTTTATCGACTTCGGTTTGATTTTGCTTGATTCTTTTCAGGTTGTGGTGTGACATTCTAGTTTGTGCGGGCGACACATTTGGCTTTTCTATTCGTTTATCGCTGGCTTAACTCATAGTTACATATTTTGTTTCAGAACACCGTTTCGGGCTACTGTCAGTGGCAGGGCCAGGAGATGTGTGACAAGCTGAACGACTACGTGGCCACTAACGAGCAGTGGGTCAACTCGATGGTGGAGCAGAACGCCGCCAGCGACCCCTACTGGCACCAGGTGGGTGCGGCGGCGCCACAGGGACTGCGCCCTCCGCTCAGCCGAGCTTTGGATCGGTGGCCTCGTGCCGCAAATGAAATGTGTCAACACGGATCGTTGGATGGCACAATTTTTTTTTCTAATTATTCGTGACCTGTGTGCCATCAATTCGTTATTTGGTGATTTCACCTTGCTCTTCGTCACTAGTTTTCTAAGCGATATTTTAAAACATTTGACTGAGTCAGAGTTTGTACAAGCGATATCAATAACTCTCCTCGTATGATAGTGTAACGAACTTTCTGCTTCGCGAAGCCGGTCCACTATTCACCATTTGTGAGCACTGTAGCGATCACGCATCAAGCGGTGCTCACTCAGGTCTGAGCACTCAGATTATCTAGGTGGCCAGTGGCCACCTGTCCTGAAGGTGCCTGGTCGTCACTGATCTGCCACGGTATCTGTCCGTTAACATTCAGACCGCTTCTGATGTGTGTCCGCTGCTCGCCTCCGTAGGTGGGCCTGGTGTACCAGCAGCTCAATGGACTGATTGACGGCGTGGACCTGACGCCCTCCATCCCCGGAGACCCCGGAGTCAAGTCAGTTTACCACCAGAGTAACAGCCGCGCGCCGGACTCTCAAACTGGGATAGCTATAGCATTGCATAGCTGTTAAACTTATCTTGTTTTCCGCAGAAAATCGCGTTTTATGCATTATTTTCTATGAGACCTTGTTTTAATGTAATCGTCGTATAAAAGCACATCGTGCGTTGGTATACAAATTACGATTAACACGTTTACATGGCAAAGATACTACGGACCTTTGTCGAACTATGCCTCAGCAAGACGATAATTCGGGTAGGTGCCTACTTTGATGCCTCCACAGCACTTTTACATAAATCTTGAATTAAACAACGGCTTGCTAAAGGCTATTGTATGTAACCTACACTGTGTTTTTCTTGTCCCGTAGGTGGCTCCTGTTCACTGTATATTCCTTGTCCGGTAGATGGCTCAACATTGCCGGTGACCTGGAGGACCTGGAGGTGGCGCTGACGACGCCGGCCAACAGACCCAAACACCTGAAGGCCTCGTGGGGCTCTCGGACGCTGGGCTCCGGCCACTGTTCGGCGCTGATCAAGGTGCTGCCTGGTGGAGAGGACCTCTATACGGCGCAGGTCACCTGGAGCAGGTTAGGACTTTGCTCGCCCGCCGAGCTGATATAGTGTGATGGATGCGCTCGGCTCAAAGCGCACTACTGACCAGAAGTAAACGTCAAATGAATTTTTATGGTGATGATAAGCTCGTATGATTATGTAGTAAGTCGTTCATAGTGTGTTTTCTCCGTTATATTCGCTTCTGCCTGATGCGATTTACTACTTAAACGCGTGTATTGGTGACGCTTTTCTGTTCTTCGCCAGCTTCCAGAGCATGATGCGCATCCAGAAGCGTTATGTGTTCAACTACGGACAGACTGACGGGCCGGACAAGGTGGCCATCCCGGGCCGTGTCTCGACCTTCTCCTCCTACCCCGGAATTCTGTCATCTCAGGTGAGCAAATATTCTTTAACGTGTGAACGAATGACTGCTTCATTTTTCCAAGCTGGCACTCTTCTTAGGGGTTTGCGTTGGTTGTGCGTAAAAGGTCGCTGTGACGTGTATGAATAATGTTAATCTGACATCCTCACCCGGTGCCTGGAGCGTTCTGGTTTGACTGTACTCTACCCTCCCCGCAGGACGACTTTTCGATTCTGTCATCTGGCCTGGTGACCCAGGAGACGACAATTGGCAACAGCAATAACGACCTGTGGAAGTTCGTCCAGCCGGAGGGCCAGGTCAGTTGGTGGCCGGCAACTGGACCGCGTCAATAGGAATGAAGTCATTCATTTACTCGAAATGCATTCATTTCATTCATTTTTTACAAGCATTATTTCATTCATTCACTTCCTTCATTCATTTGGTTTCAATAATTAGTGCATTTATTTACTTTATTCATTTCCTTCATTTCATTCATTCATTCATTCATTCATTCATTCATTCACTCATTCATTCATTTTATTTCATTCATATCATTCATTTCACTCATTTCATTCATTTAAATCATTTCAATCATTCCATTCATGTCATCCATTTCATTTCATTCATTGGCTTAAGTAATTCATGCACATGATTTATTAATTGATTCATTAATTATTTTCATTCATTCAGTAGTCGCATCCGTAGCTACAAAACACAGCATACGTTCTTTTTTCCTCTTTTAACTTGTTGGCATGAAACAACCAATTTATCTTTAAGTGTAAAATAAACGCCAATTCTTGTTCATTGGCCCCGTGACTGTGGAGCTCCGCTGACCGCCTCCAATGGCTCAGGTGCTGGAGTGGATCCGAGCTGTGGTGGCCAACAACCTGGCGACCAGCGGCGAGGAGTGGACGGACGTGTTTGGCCGCCACAACAGCGGTACCTACAACAACCAGTGGATGGTGGTCGACTACAAGCGCTTCAAGAGCGGCGACACGGCGCTGCGGCCGGGCCTGCTCTGGATCCTGGAGCAGATTCCCGGCACGGTGATGGCCGAGGACGTGACTGGCGTGCTGCAGAGCCAGCAGTACTGGCCCAGCTACAACTCGCCCTACTTCCCCGAGATCTTCAACCTGTCCGGAAACCCCGAGCTGGTGGACGAGTACGGCGACTGGTTCAGCTACGACATGACGCCGCGCGCGCGCATCTTCCGCAGAGACCAGGACGGCGTCACCGACGTGGGCTCCATGATGAAACTGATGCGCTACAACGACTACAAGAACGACCCGCTGTCGGCGTGCGACTGTGAGCCGCCCTACTCGGGAGAGAACGCCATCTCGGCTCGGTGCGACCTGAACCCTGCCAACGGTACCTACCCGTTCAGCGCTCTGGGGCACCGCGACCACGGCGGCACCGACATGAAACTCACCACCACCAAACTGGTGAGTCATGTAATTCTCTATGGCTGTGTGCTTCGTCATAGAGCAGCATCCAGATGATGCATGGCCATGCCTTGGGCTGATTCCTCTGCCGAGTTTCTGCCGCTATCATGTGTGGCATATCACATAGTGTCTCGTGCGACATCTTTCATTATATCGTGGGGATATGTATAATGTAATGAGTGGTAAACCCGGTAAACCAGCGGCTGGTCACGGACGATCTCGTAAGATTACCGACGCATTGGTATAGTAATATTGATAGCCGTAGAGGCTGCCGTGCTATGAAAAGGGAGTGAGGTGCACCTCAACAATAAGCCATTTCGCACAACGCCTTGAGAAAGCAGCAGCCAGCTAAAGTTTCCAAAGCTTAGGTAAGAGTATCATTTGTCAATCGTGTGATCAACGCCCCTGTGTATATTCAGTTCATGATATTCTGTTTTTTGTCATTTCCAGGTGCCTGTGATGGAGTTTATCTCGATCGCCGGCCCGACGTACGACCAGCAGCCGCCGTTCCAGTGGAGCAAGGCCGACTTTGTCGACACGACGCCGCACTGGGGCCACCCAGACCTGTTCCAGTTCGACCCGATCCAGTGGAACTTCCAGTGGCAGTAGTTGCCGCTGTGGCCGCCTGCCCAGGCGGCGCTGGTGGGAAGGGACACCGCTGTGTCGACCCGAGTGGTAACTCCGTGGGAACCATCAATAACGCGCTGCTACCGCGTGGTAATGTAAACTTTTTATCCATAAATGCTCGTCGGCTCCAATAAAATATGTACAACAAATCTTTCCTTTCATTTCTGTTTCTCTTCTATCTATTCATATCACTGTCGGCACCTATTACTTCTGGCATTACCCTTTCTAGTACATCTGTCAAAATTCAGTGTGACACATGTCTTGTATTAGATCGTTCGAAGTCGTTTACATCACAATCGCTCGTTTGTCAAAGTATTACATCAGCGGCGAACATGTCACATTACAGTGAGACATTTCAGTCAGTTGAGTAGCGTTTTGAAGTCGTTTTCGATGGCGTGCCAGGGGTCGTAGCTGAGCAGCACGTCTGTGCTGTCGATGTCCTCGGCGGCCTGTCGGTGGGAGCAGACGGGCGGCGGGGCCGCCGCCACGGGGCTGGAGGTGCGCGGCCCGTCCTCCGCCCCGGACTCGGACCGCGGCGTGTCGGCGTGCCTCGGCGGCGGGCTGACCAGCGGCCGGTACGGCCGGTCCTCGCTGTGCAGCTCCAGCAGCTGCGGACTGGCCCACGAGCGGCCCGAGCTGGGCACCGAGTCGCCGCCGCTCGGCAGCGGCAGCTGGGTGACGGGTGTCGGACTGCGCGGCCGCTCCCAGCCGCGTCCCGGGCTGGACTGCTCGGCGGCGAACCGCCGGATACGGGCACTGAGCTCGCTGTCGGAACACTGCCGCAGGGTGCAGGGGCGCACACCGTCGCCGTGCGAGAGGCCGCCGTCGCTGCGTGTCGTGCCCCCGCCGCCGGTCGGTGCCTGGTCCGTGTACCGCCAGCTGTCTCCGCCCAGGTACCGCCGGGTCGGAGACCTGACCTCTCCGCCCGCCCGTTTGGAGGGCAGCTCCGGCCGAGGGCTGGACGCGTCTCCGAGCTCCATTCGCTGAGTGATGCGATCGTTCAGCTCGGCTCGGCGGAAAAACTCGGACATTTGTCTGAGGAGTCGGTTTGACTCGGTCAGGGTGTCCAGGATGCATCGGGACGTGTCTCGAGGTCGCGGTGAAGGAGACATAGACCTGACGACGGCTGGGGGAGGCGGCAGGCGCCGCGGGGACAGCACGGATAGCTCCGTTTGGGCAGCTGCATCGGTGGCGGTAGGTGGCTCAGTTTGAACTGCAGGCTTTGTGAGGACCTGTCCCTCTCCGCATCCATTGTTCCTCTCATTCATTCCGGAAGCCAGTCGAGGACTGGTCTGACACGACCTGTTCCTATTCCTGCTGAGGTTTTCCTTCTGCTTCTCAGAGCCGCCACCGCCGGTTGCCGGTCGCGGGCCGAACATCTCCTCCAGTACCCTGCGCACCAGCTCGGCTGTGGCTGCGTCCCCCGCCGCCGTCCGTCTCACAGACTCCAGAGAACTGGCGCTAGAGGAGGTCCCTCTGCGCTCCGACCGGCGCCGCTGCCGCCGCCGCCGCCGTGACGGTGAGCGCGCCCGGTGCACCTGCCGCAGCTCAGCGCCGTCCAACACAAACTCGTCCGTGGAGCCCTCGACCGGGTCTTCAGGGTGATCGTCCTGCCGCCGACCGGGCGAGGTGCGGTTCGGGTTGGCTGTGACGTTGATGCGGATTTTGCGGCGCACCGGCGGCGGAAGGACCTCGATCACCCGAGGTGGAGGCTCCTGCTGTCGGCAGCACTTCTCGACGATCTCGGGTAGTTTGGAGAGCAGCCACTGATTGTAGTCGGTGTTGTCGCCGTCTGGCAGGTCGATTTTCAGCGCTTCCGACACCTGATGATCGCGCTCGTCTCCGTGCGACGGTGGGCGCGGAACGCCGGGAGCAGGACCGACGGTCAGACTGCGGCCGGGCAGGATGAACCCACCGCCATTCTGCGACAGCGAGCTGGCCTCAGCCGGTCGCCGGCCGCGCCGCCGCGGCCGCTTGTTCGAATCCAGCCCGGCGCCCTGGGTCTTCACGGGCGCGGGGATGGACTGCGGGAGAGGGCCGGTCATCTCGAGGGTTCGCACGGCGTAGTCGCGCCGGTAGGTAGTCAGGTAGGCCTCGAAATCCGAGAGGGCCTCCGTCATACGCTGCTGCTCGCTGGGGTAGATGGCGGAAGGTCGGACGACATCGCTGAGGAGGGCCAGATCGGCGGCGCAGTTCTGCTACGCACTGGGTGGCGTGATCGTTAGCTCAATTGAATGATGGATAGGTCTGGAGCGTCCTAGCTCAAGGTTAGACCATTGGAGGTAATTTTTGGAGATGTACTATGGTGCGCTAGAGTCGCTCTTGGCAATGTGGGCAGCACCCAAACCATTGCAGTAGCAAAGAGTCGTGCTCAATGTGTTGTTCGTGCTGTTCGTCCGCGGACTTCGCTCATTGCTTGCGCACTGCGGCGCGAAGCCGCTTTTGCTGCGGCTATTTCTGTCGCGTCACGTGACTGGCTGTCTGGCGCTCCGCCAGCCGTGGTTTCTGCAGTACGCTGGCGGCGATCGATTTTCTAATCAGTGGTGCTCAGCCGGCTTCCCGACGGCGCTCTCGACGAATGGGCGCCGCCGTCGCAGCCGCGCCACCCTCGTCTTAGCGTGACGTACACAGACACGTCGTCCGTCTCACGTGAGGTAGCTCCGCCCTCACCACGCGACCCCACGCGACCGCTGACGGCAGAACTTGGCTTCACGCGAAATGCTGCAGCGATTCCCAGAAACGACGCAGAACTTCCTGACATGCTTCAGTCATAGACACACACAATCATTTCAGTTCCCGATTAATCGATGCATGAAAAGGTTACCTGTTTTGCAACATTTTTGCATGAGCTGCTGGTCTGGTTTTCAGCTCAGTGAAATTGCATTTTGCAGGGAAGCCCTGCTCCGATTATTGGAGCTTAATCTTTTTCCTATTCATTCACGTGTTGCGTCTCACGCGTGGTGCGCGGTCGGACGTCCTGCGTCGGACTGCTCTTGCAGTCTCCGCTGTATGTGACACTTACGGTTGAGCTGCTAAGTGCAGCCTGGGCTGACCCCCTGCAGCCGAGCGCTGCCGTCTATTGTTGGTGTGTCTGTGAAGCCCTGCACGATCAGCTCTGACCCTGACACACCGTGACCTTGGGGAGGCCCCTTCAGGGCTGACCGTGAGGCTCTGGTCTGGTACGGCTCTGGGCCGAGACGTAGACATGACTGCTTCGTAAAAGCTAACAAGATTCATCGCAACTGATTTGTTCGCTTGTTATTTGTGACGCGTGCCTATGCCTTATCGTGGTTTTGAAATACTTTCGAATCATTTCACATTTCTTGCTTCTACCACAGCACCTGCACTCATTATCGATTTCTGTGGATTCCAATCATGTGTCCAGCCTCCTTTAGGCTTATATGGTATTTATATATTAGATCTCTTAATCTACCATATTCTCGCATATTCTCTCTCATGATACAACGCTTTGCGATATTGAGATATCCCGCTGACGCGTATTATCACCGAAGGCGACCTTGTCACTCGTGTATCGCGCTGTCGGCTCCAGTGACCTTCCAGTGTCTGCAGTTCCGCGGACGAGGTGGCAGCTCAATTTCCGGCTCTGGAGAGGGCTGGTGCGGCGCCGCGACCGCTCGGCTGCCGGCGAAGGCCTCTGCGTGAGAGCCACTCAGATGAACGGGCTGAACGGCACCGGAGCGAGCAATCTCACTGTGAGAACTGACCCGGACTCACTACTGAGTAGCCGGGTCAGGCTGACCGGAATGTGGGTTCGGCTTTTCCGCGGCTGCCGACTTTTTAAGTTTAGGTGTTGGGAGGATTGGCAAAGGGGGATGGTATGTGTGTTATCTACTATCCTGGGCTGGTTTCTAGCAGTATATTACTGACAATGTGTACTTTTCACGATAATGAATTACACGTATCAGTGGCCTGACAAACTGTTGCTGTGTTAACACGGCGAAGACAATCGTATTTGCATTGTACGCCGATTGAGCGTGTGGAGTGGCTAACCGTTTAACGTCTGAGTGCCCACTCACGGTGAAACAATAAACCCGCTGCTGATAGCTACACGAAGACAATCCTAGCCGTCTTATCGGCATCCTATGTTTACACAGCAACGGATAGTGGGCGGTTGTTCTACGGTTGGGTTGTCTGATCATCGGAAATGCCTTTATGGCCAATAACCATGTGGTGATGGGTTCTGAGGATATCGAGAGCGTGATGGTTAGGCATTATACAATATACAATGAGCTCAGCCTACCGAAGAATGTCGGACAGTGACAACCCACGGCTTCCACCGGAGGTGTGGTCATTATTCGTATAAGTCAACGGAAACAACGGGCGAATTGAATAGGGGTTGATATAAACAAAATCAAGTTATATGTTAATCACAGTTTTCTACAGGATGTTCGTGTGTGAAGCATGTGACGGTGAGCTGGAAAGTGGGCATCCCGTTGTGATCCTGGATTGGCCCCCGGTTCACCCGGATAAAACACCGATCGTGTCTGTTGTCGGACCGCTCACCTGAGCCTCATTATCCGGTCCGTCCGGTACCAGCGGTGACATCACACGTGTGACGTCACTCATCGTCCGATGGATGGTGCCGTGCACGGTGGGCAAGGTCGTCTGCGTGCCGGCCCGGCCGGCCGGTCGGCGTTTTCTGGGTCGCGCGGCCGGGTCGGCCGGTGGGTACTTCATGTGCCGCATGCAGGTTTTAGGTCGAGCAGGCTATATTGCTCTCAGTCGAGTGGGCTCGAGCAGGGGACTGGGTGCTCACTGCTTGTTTTGAGTGGTACGTGATCAGTAATACATTCCACATGTCAGGTAATTGATTTTTGAATAACCTTGACCTTGCGTCATGACAACAGTAGCCCATATGGCTCGATCACCTCGAACAGATTTTGACCGGTCAGTCTTTAAATCCAACAAATACGGACCTGTCAAATCCACCAGATAGATCACCGGTCGGGTGGCTCTGGAAACCAAAGACGTGGACCATCGTCATCCTCACGCCACGCCACGCGACCGGGGTCATCTGACAGAACAAATCCAGTCCCGTGAGAGGCCATCTCGGGGAGGCAGACCTCGCGAGTCAACTGGTGCTGAGGCCGGTACGGGAGGAGGCGACCTGTCGGGTGTCACTCATGGGACTGAGTGTTGGAGACAAGGCCCTTACATTGAAATAGTGAGATGACTGAGGATAGGAACAGATGATTACTCCTGCCACACAGTTCTCCAGACCGATATATTGAGACGCTTGTCCCTGGTATTTTAATCTTGTTCTCACTGTGTTCCTAGACCTCATAGGAATGTCTGTCATTTTGATCCTGTTCTCATTCTTTTCCTCAGGCTTGTCAACTCATCTCACGTGGATTCACGACCCAGCCTTCTCCCACCGTCGAGCAGACGGTTATGGAACGGCATGCGGCCGTCGGTCCTACGTCCTCCGTCCTAAATCTGAACTCCACATCCGCCCAACGTCAAGATTGGTGGTGAGTATCGACCTCTTTATCCCTTCTTCGCCGCCCTCCGAGCCAAAGATCACACCGCAGCTTTCCTTTAGTCCGTCATCAGGCCCTATGCCCACGCGTGTATATGATATCGCTATCAGTAGGTACGTGTATTTATTTTTATACCGAATATCCATTCATTCACATTTGTGGCTGGGTGACTTCTGAAAGGTCTGATCAAAGGACATTCGGTCCATCAGAACTGCACGGCAACTACCAGCTTTAGTTCATGACCATGACGCAACTATCAGCTCGGGAACCACTGAATATGGATTGCCACGGCGAACGTGACTCTCACACGGTCCTCTTCATTTATTCACGGTCACGAGGCAGGACCTGCTCCTTCCTGTTTCCTGTGACAGGGAGCAGTAAACACGTGGTGAAGTGGAGTACTACGTTTACTACGGAATGCTATCTGGGGCAGTGAAAGTCTTCCTGAGTGCGGTAGCTCGTGTGAATGGCTGAAAGCGCCTGATCGACGCAGCACCGTATCTGCGCTGACTCTCACCGTACTACGGATTTATCTCACCGTATCTTATCGTATCTCAGCTCTATTTATCTCACCGTCCATACATCTGCGGAAGGATTTTGCGAATATGATCTTAGATTTTACCACAATTCATTAAACGGCTATCGTCCGTTTAATATCCACATAGAAGTAGAAATGGTGCGTCTGACTTAGAACTCAAATCAAGGCATGACTCGTCACTTCTTCAGTCCATTGCGCTCGCCAAATTTCGAGCAGTTGTCTTTTGATCTGAACTACGAGATGATCTCTGGTGCCGCGCTGTCCGCCAAGTACCCGGCTCGGGGGCTGCGGGTATGTGCGACTGACATTCCTGGCTCGTCTCCAGTCGCGGCCCGTGCCTGGACTGGGGATGGCTCCCAGCTCTGTGGCAGCCGCCCGAGACGGGACGACCGGGGGCGGTGCCGCCTGCATGCCAGGACGTCCCGCCCGGCACTCCCCTACCCTGCCCCCGGCACGCGCCGCTCCGACCTTGTAATTCTACACCGTCCTTCGTACTAGGACCAGCCAAGGTGGCTGGTGGTTTTGGTAATTAATTAGTATAATGATTTGTATGCATGCATGGCCCATTACGAACTGGTTATTACTTATTGTTGAGCTCGTGCGTATTTCGTTGAAGGGAAGATAATCATGTGTTTTTCCACTCAGCACTAGAATTGTGGACTGTGGAGCTCAGACTTAGTGCAAATGAAATTACTTAGTTGACTACGCTGACTATTCTCGTGCGGTTTGAGGTCATCATCGCAGCGGATCATCGACGTCGACGTCACGCCGTGTCGTGCGTGTGACGCCGCGTTACGCTCAGGGGCGGATCCAAGGGGGGGTCACATGGGTCATGCCCCCCCCCTTGAGGCCCGGGGGCCCAAAGACCTGCCAGGGGCACCACCGGCCTATCAGGGGTATCACAGTCCTGACAGGGGCACCACAGGACCGCCAGGGGCACCACAGGCCTAGCAGTGACACTACGGGTCTGGTGCCCCTGGGCCCTGACAGGACTGTAACGCCCCTGACAAGCCTGAAGTGTCCCCGGCAGGCCTGAGGCGCCCCTACAAGGCCGGTGGTGCCCCTGGCAGGCCTGTGGTGTCCATGGCAGGCCTGTGGTGCCCTTGCTAGGCCTCTGGTGCCCCTGACAGGCTTGTAATGCCCCTGGAAGGACTGTGGTGCCCCTGGGCCCTGACAAGCCTGAGGTGCCCCTGACAGGCCCGTGGTGCCCTTGTTAGGCCTGTGGTGCCCCTGACAGGCCTCTGGTGCCCTTGCTAGGCCGCTGGTGCCCCTGGCAGGCCTCTGGTGCCCCTGCGCCCGGAGAGGACTGGTGCCCCTGAAAAGTCTGAAGTGCCCCTCGGCAGGCCCGTGGTGCCCCTGACAGGCCCAAGGTGCCCCTGCAAGGCCGGTGGTGCCCCTGGCAGGCCTGTGGTGTCCATGGCAGGCCTGTGGTGCCCTTGCTAGGCCTCTGGTGCCCCTGACAGGCTTGTAATGCCCCTGGAAGGACTGTGGTGCCCCTGGGCCCTGACAAGCCTGAGGTGCCCCTGACAGGCCAGTGGTGCCCTTGCTAGGCCTGTGGTGCCCCTGGCAGGCCTCTGGTGCCCCTGACAGGCTTGCGGTGCCCTTGGAAGGACTGGTGTCCCTGGGCCCTGACAAGCCTGAGGTGCCCCTGACAGGCCCGTGGTGCCCTTGTTAGGCCTGTGGTGCCCCTGGCAGGCCTCTGGTGCCCTTGCTAGGCCGCTGGTGCCCCTGGCAGGCCTCTGGTGCCCCTGCGCCCGGAGAGGACTGGTGCCCCTGAAAAGTCTGAAGTGCCCCTCGGCAGGCCCGTGGTGCCCCTGACAGGCCCAAGGTGCCCCTGCAAGGCCGGTGGTGCCCCTGGCAGCCCTCTGGTGCCCCTGGCAGGTCTGTGGTGCCCCTGGCAGGTCTGTGGCGCCCCTGGCAGACCTGTGTTGACTGGTGCCCCTGCTAGGTCGCTGGTGCCCCTCACAGACCTGTGGTGCCCTGGGCCTTGACAAGCCTGAGATGCCTGGCTATGACAGGCTCGTGGTGCCCCTGATAGACCAGTGGTGCCCCTGCTAGGCCGCTGGTGCCCCTCACAGGCCTGCGGTGCCCCTGGAAGGACTGTGGTGCCCCTGCCCCTAGGGGTGCTCATGGGCCCAACAGGCCCGTTGTGCCCCTGACAGGCCTGTAGTGTCCTTGCTAGGCCTGTGGTGCCCCTGCTTCCTGGCGGGCCTGTGGCGCCTCTACAAGGCCGTAGGTGCCCCTGACAGGTTTGTGGTGTCCCTGGAAGGACTTTGGTGCGCCTGACAAGCCTGAAGTGTCAAGGACAGACCCTTTAGACGCCAGTGTCAAGTTCGTCGGACTGACAACGATTTGCTTACCTGATAACGTTCCTGGTAAGTACTCACTACTCAGCGTCCACAACATATACATATACACATAGCACATTCATATATACTTGCTTACAATTGGTAAATGTGGTTGTGGCTAAGAGTTAAGATACTGACTAAAAATAAAAAATAAAAATAAAAAAAAACTGAAAATAGGGGCACCACCAAAATGAAGTGGACGAAATCCGTTGAGTTTTTAATCTTGGGTATAGGTAGGGGCACCACTTCGATTCATGACCCTCCCCTTGGAGTTTTCCTGGATCCGCCCCTGGTTACGCTCCACTAACGCTGTGACGTGGAGGGTGCATCGGTTCGAGTGACGTCGTACCAGTCCGAAGCAGATAACTGATCGGAATCAGCCGGCATGCGTGTGTAATATTACTGGATGAAAACTATGTAAACACACGCCTACCGCTCTGTGGATTGATGTCAGATCATTTCGCAGCACCGTCTCACCATGTCTGACGGGGCGTCGCCCACAGGACTCCCACGCAGTTGCGCGGGACCTCCGGAAGTCAGCCTCCGCCCTCTGACGAGTTCCATGATATCAGTGTGTGAGTCATTTTATGGTACGCGGTAACATGTCCGTCTGCCGACTGGATTGGTGCAGCACAAGTGGCGTGACTTGAGCAAATTTGGCACTTGACTTTGGAGGAGGGGGGGGGGGGGGCGGCAGATATGACGCTGGCGTGGCGTGATATCAGGGACCCAATGCCAGACTGCTGCATCAACACACGCCTCAGAGCACATTACGACATGGACTTGTTGAACCTCCGGTCTGACTTCACTTGGGTCCAGGAACTCAGCTTTGGCCGTGCCTTCCGCCGCTCCGGGTAGACCAGCTTCAAACCGGGAATGCGGAACGTCCTGAAGGCCGACGGCTCGAATAGCATATGCAATACGAATGATTGTGCATTTGGAGTGTTTGTGAACTCACTCACCGACAAGCTTCCTCCTCTTACCCTGACTCACATACCTTCTAGGCACGGTCTTTGCTGATTCGCTTACTATGGTTTTTGTCCTGATACACCCACTACAGTTTTTGCCCTGATACATGGATGTTTTTTACCCGGATACGCTTACTATGGTATGTGATGCGTAGCCACCACTACAGTACCAATGACTGAGCCCGCAGTGACTAACCGACAACCGTCCTATCTGCTTATGCTGCAGCACGTTCTGTTGCGCCTCCCCGCCTGAGACCGTTCCCTCCGACCCCAGTGCCATCCGTCCCGAGACGGAGGGTCCTGCGCACCCCTCCCCTCCGTCTGTCTGTCTGTGTGTCTGTGTGTGCCCGCCAGCGGCCCATTATCCCCTCTGGTCCAGGGCCGCCTCCCTCTGTTGTCGCCGCCGAGACGTCCCATTCATCGCCGCCGCGGGGGCGCGTCTCTGACGTCACGGCGAGCCGCGCGCTGATTGGCCGTCGGCGGGTGGGACCACGCGCCCGTGGGGTCACCGCTCCGAACGATGGGATATAGGCGGCACCGGCCGGCGGCCCGGCCCATTCGGCACAGATAGCCGCGTGCGCCCGCACCACTCAGCGGAAACCACTAGCCATGAAGCAGTCGGGAGTCTGGGCGGTAGTGGTGGCGGCGGCGGTACTGGCCGTCCCGGCGGCAGCCAACAATTTCCTGGCCGTCGACTACCTCGGCGATGGCGAGCGGGAGACGAGGATCCACTTCGACCGAGTGCACGCCAAGGAAACGGCCATGGAAACCGTCGACGGCAACGTTACGTGAGTCTTGATGGAGGAGGAAACGGAACCCCAGCCAGAGCTTTGACGTGGATAACTCAATTTGCATTCTGAATTTGCTAAGAATTCTCACTTTCTGAACATAAGTAAAGTATTCAGGGTTTAAGTTTTAATTTTCGTTTCTCAAAGATATAGGCAAGCGTTGCAATGTGCCAAGTCCTTAAGTATATTGTAGTTCATCGTGAATGGTCGTTGAATGCAAATCACATTTTGAATAAGCTTTACCTGTTTTTACTATTTCAAATTGCTAATCAGTGTGCACTTCTCGCCTATGTCCGATCCTGTTCAGTTTGCTCCATTTCAATTTTCAAATTGTTTGTCCGACACTGCTCAGATTTCCCTCGTTGTCCCTCGTTACCGCAGTCCCTCATTACCTGGCTCCCTGGGACGGTAATTTCCCGGTGCGTCCGTCTGGCCCGGCCCGTAGGCCCCGCCCACTGGCATCGTACCACCGTGGCGCGGCGGGAAAGCCGGTCTCTCCTCCCTCTATCCCTCCCCTCCCCGCTCGCACACCTGTCTGGCTAAAGACCGGTACAGCTGGTCCGGCTAGACAGGTGGCGCCACGTGGAGTCCGGCTCGTGGTGGAAGAAAGGCTAAAGGCACGAGTGAGCCAACGGCCACCCTCGTTTACCTGTTCTGGAAGTGATAAGAGCATGTGTTACGCGGCATTGTCTGTGCTATGTGCAAACAGTCGCATTCCATCCCTCCAGAACCCATTGTTTCCTCGGAATTTGGCGGTTGACGCCCCATGCATACTGATGAGCTGCTGATTCCCGGACCTCCCCGGATCGGACCGGCCTCGCCGGGGGCGCTGTCTGTCCTTCCAACCCGTCCGGCGCCGCCCCTGCTGCTGCACCGGCCCGCCGTGTGACCCCACCGCCCCGGTCTGTTGCAGCCGCGGCCTGCACCTGTGGCAGGTGACCGATGGACGGCACTTCATCCAGTCCATCTTCACGGCCCAGGGCGAGCTCAAGGACTGCGAGTACATCCGCAGGAAGGACGTCATCGGCTCCTTCCTCGAGTCGTTCGACAGTGACGTGGAGCGGGCGCGCCTGCTGGCCGCCGACCAGGAATCCGACGACCAGGACGAGCAGCTGGACGCGCAGAACCGCATGACGAACGCGACGTTCACGCTGCTGGAGTCTGTGCCCGAGGAGCTGGCCGGCTACCTCGACTACAAGCAGATGAGGCGCATCTGCAAGGAGCAGCACAAGATGATCCGCAAGGTGGCCCACAAGAAGCACCACGGCAACGCGAAGGAGAAGGCGGACGCTGAAGCCTATATCACCAGGTAGGCTGAGTTGACTGTGTGTCGTAGTGGGTTTCGGAATCGTGATTAACTCTGGTAATGGGGTATTATGTAACTCGTGGTTCAGTATTGAAGTAGTAGTTATCAGCCTGCCTTGGTCACTTCATGTACATCACGGGTCTTGCCTCATGATCAGCCCGCTTTGAGTTCCTTCACCACTCTTACGCCTTTTCTATCTGTGATCAATGTGTTTGTGTTGCCCGCTGTTCCATCCCGCTGCCGGTCTGACGCTGGCGGGTGACACTTCAGTGCCACTCGCCGGGTCTCTGGTAGCGGGGCGGGACGGCCACCGTGCCAGCCATGAGCCACGCCTATCGCCCTAGCCACGCTCACCGCCCTAGCCATGCCCACCGTCCCAGCCTTGCACGCTGATTCCCTCTCCCCTCCCTGGGAAGTGCTTGTCTGCCAGCCAAACGTAAGTTTTCCGGTCGGAAACCGATCCACTGCATGCCAGCCGGCACTGTCGGCGTCGCTTTGGGTGCTAACTGTGTTTTCTTCACCGTTGAGCCAACTGAGTCGCCGTACGGTTCTACCGTTATTGGTAGAGAGCGGCAACTTTGTTGTTGAGATAGTTGTCGGGGCTTTAGTGCACGCAATATTTTGGAGAGTGGTTGTAACTCCGGGAAGTGTGGAGTGTTTTGAGGGTTGAATGTTGGTCCGCAACCGTATTTAGAGGTCCAATTTCGGTTCGGTACTAGTAAACTTTTCATATAAAAGATAATAAGCCCGTTGTTTGTCGGGTGTTCAATCCACAAAAACTTTGGAATTAAATCCTGGTTGCAGCATTAATCGGAAGTAGCATCAAGCATGGCTTGTACAGTATGTTGTGAGGGCAACATTGGACCTTCTATTTGGCGTCTTTCGCACGGAACGCCAGTTATTTGGCCTGCAGTCTCGGTTTGGGGGCCACTGGTTTGTCGTGGTCTCCTACCGGTGGCAGGCGATCTTCATTTGATCACCACTGGTCTATCGTGGCCTGTGGTCCCGGTCGGGGCCTGGGCAGTGGGTTCCACTGTTTTATTCCTCCGGTCTCGGTCTGGGGACCACCGGTCTGTCGTGGTCTCCGACCGGTAACCGGCAGTCTCGGTCTAGGGGCGGTAGCTCGTCCCCTCCCTGTTTCGGTCTGGGGACCACTAGTCTGTCGTGGTCCCCGGCCGTTACCTGAGGGTCGGACGGAGTCTGATCAGCGCGGGAAGGCTCCGCAGTCCGCTGAGCGGCCGGCCGGTCGTTGCAGGACGAAGCGGGACCTGCAGCTCATCTACCCGGGCACCAAGTGGTGCGGCGACGGCACACTGGCGCAGAGCCGCTCTATGATGGGCGGCCTGCACACGGTCGACCGCTGCTGCCGCTCACACGACTACTGTCCGTACGCGATCCCGGGCCTCAGCGAGAAGTACGGACTGTTCAACTTCCGACTGTTCACCATGTCTCACTGCATCTGCGACCGGAGGTAGGGAGCAGCGGACGCCGCGGGAGGCTGGCTCACGACGCGACGGTAGGTGGAGTACCACGCAGGGCAGACAGGCACCCCCGGGATATCCTCCCCTCCTCTCCCTCGCCGCCTGCTGAGCAGCTCTGTTCCGCCGCCGGCGCTCCTAACCCGTTCCTCCGCTCGGCTGGCTGTCCCCGGTGAGTACCCACACTGTACCGTGGCACTCCCTGGCCGCAGGCACCGGCGCGATCTGCTGGATGTGTTCCGCGTGCCCGGCACCAAGTGGTGCGGCAAGGGCTACACGGCCACCACGTACAGCACGCTGGGCGGCTACGCCGGCGCCGACCGCTGCTGCCGGCACCACGACAAAAAGTGTCCCTACTGGATCGGATCGCTCGAGGAGAAGTATGGCCTCTTCAACTGGGGCATCTCCACGCTCAACCACTGCGCGTGCGACGAAAGGTGAGAGGACGGCAGGCACATCCAAAACTCCGCGATGGAGTTATGGAGACGCTAGTTGGAGCTGGTAAGGCTAGCAGGCCTTGCTCTGAACGCTGGTCAGTGTTATGTGCTTTACTGGTAGGGTTTTTACTGCGGGGAACGTGTTAACGCTGAACCTTTGAACCACAATATTTGCATTGCTGCCCAGTCTGGCGCAGCTCCCGCCGGGTAGTAACTCGGGCCTCAGACGCCGGGCGGCAACCGGTCGTGTCTGGTACAGTACAGAGCCGGCCGGTGTCTGTTTACAAGGCGCCTGTGGTCCCTAGGTGCCCCCAAATCGGAGGAATCTGTGACGACTGGCGGTGACGGACGCCAGACCGCGCCCGGGGCCGTCCCAGGGCACATTCCTGACATGGTAGCCACCTCTGGGACAAGGTCCGCCCACCCAGTGATGTTGAAAGTCTAAGGGTTGTTGCTAGGCGGGTCCCCTTACTACGCATTCTTGTAGCTCACAAATAACTTTGACATAAACGTTCTACGATAGACTTTGAAGCCACTCGCAACACCAGCTTAGAACACTCCCTCGCATGTTATTTGTCAGCATATTGTTTCACCACTGATGATGCTGACCAATTGTCCTTTCTGCCGCAGGTTCCACACATGCCTGAAGATGACTGGCTCCGGTGCGGCCAACATGGTCGGCAAGATCTTCTTCAACATCGTGCGCACCAAGTGTTTCGTGCTGAAGAAGCGGACCGAGTGCGTCAAGAGTAGCTGGTGGGGCAACGAGTGCGAGGAGAAGCGGATCGTCAAGCGGGCGGCGCTGAAGGAGGCGCTGCCGTACTGAGCGCGGCGCGCTGGAGGACTGGAGGACGGGGAGGATGTCTCCACGGAGGACCGGCGGTCACTAGTCAGACCGCTGACCGCCGGCGGCACCGACAACCCGGCCCGGGGACGACTGAACGATCCGGCACGGTGGCTGCCCAAGACGCCCGCCAGGCTCCCTCCCCCATTAGCGGCCCGGTAACATGTACCATCTGACAACAAATGTCCGTGTCCATTTGTTGAAATGTCGATTCAAGTCTGTAATAGCGCAGGCCGAAGCCATGACATGCAATACTGTGATACTCACGGCGCGGCTGCTGCCCGTTTTCTGAGGCACGCCATGCTGCATGACACTCGTGTAAACCCCCTAGATGACATTTTGTGTAGACCAGTGTACAGTGACCTATCGCTCGATATGCGGCCCGCGACAAATGCTCAGGAGTGTGTGTAGGTCTTCCGGATGGCCCGGAACCGCGGGAGATGGTGTGTAGATTGATTGCTAATGTCAGCCTACTGTATCACTTGTCATACTCATTACTATGCTCATCTAAACATCAAAGGCGCTCGCGTTATTTTCGTAGAAAATAGGAAATATAAGCGATACCATTTACGATGAGTTTACGAGACGTGTGTGCGTGTCTGTGGACAGAAAGGAGGGCCGAGAGGGCTACTCGGTACCATTCGCAATTCCAAGTCTGTCTGTACCGGGTTCACTCACTACGGGGTCAATCACGTGTCGCGCCCATCCGTTACAATAATTACACCGGTTTCACAGCCCCATCATTAGCCCCCGAGCGGATGTGTCGCAAGTGCGGCGACTGCTGCCGCGGCACGCGTGTTCGCTCGCCCCCGGCAGCAGTAGCGTATCCGCCCCCCGGGCAGGAGCGTGTCTGCTGCACCGGCCAGTGACCGCGGTCGGCAGACGAGGCCACTGGTAGGGCTGTGTGCGGAGGCAGGGAGGAGGGAGCGGGATGTGCAGAGTACGGTACCCAAACAACTCACTTATCGCGCAATATCGAGCAGCCTACTCCACCGCCATATGGCCCTCGTATGGTCTTGAGCCATTATCGAGCGTCAGGAAGAGAGCAAAAAGTTCACAGCGGTAGCTTGGATGGTATATTGATGGATGTCGTTACACATGATGCATTATATAAGCACACACATTACAAACACTAATGCAAATCCTGCAGTGCAAATAGCTTGACTGTCGTGAATTAGCTAATGAGTAGCATAATTGTGGGTAAATAAGCCACACAAGTCAACGAACACGCGCAACAGTCCGAGCAGAACATCCCGATAGTTCCCTCCGGGGCACGGTGGCGACCCGGGGAACACTGCACAGCTCGTGCGCATCACAGACGATTGCTGGTAACACCAGCGGCCGGCGCGGCGCGGCGCAGTGACGCGTCCGACCCACCCACTGCCCCTGGTGACGGTGGGCAAGCATGGATACCAGGTGGACGTACACTGGGTGGCTAGAGGCAGCAATGGGTCACCGTGCCACCCGGCACTGGACACCGGGGACTGGGGACTGGGGAGGCTGTCTTCCGGCCGAGCCCGAGCCGCCAGCCGGTGGCGAGGTGCCTCCTCTCCTCACCTTACGCCAGGGGCCACCCTATCCCGGCGCCCGGTGACCTGGCGCCGCCCATCACAGAACACCTGCTGAAGAAGATCTTTCCGACCACGGTGGTTACCTTCCTCACAACACTGGAGCGGGCGAAACCACTCCGGCGAGCGCATTAACACTTGCCAGCAGGTCGCAGTACACCTTAGCGGTCCATCCGCGGCTGAGGCGCTCAACGTTACCGTTTTTTCCTCCGCGCGCCTGCTCCGGAAGGTTTGGTGGGCGGCGCGTCGGGCACCACTATACTGCCCTCGGCTAGCTCCTGCTGCAGGGACGACGACTCAGCGGCGATCTTCTGCTGCGCCTCCAGGAAGAACATGAGGTCGCGCACCTGCTCCTTCAGATCCTGCACCTCCTGCGAGCACACACAGAGGGAGAATATGTTACACAAACATCAAATAATTGTACGGCGGGACACATTAGCACGTCTGGAACAGAGACGCACCCACCGTCTAAAGACACAGCCGTCTTGTAAAATAGCATAACACATAGGTGCTTTTACTCCTCCGTTGCCACGATAGTTATCGTGATACCCGATAGTATGCCCGAGAGCGACAACAAGATGCTGAGCATTACCAAAGGATAACAGTCGCTGCTGTCAAAATGTGATACATGGTGTTTAGAGATAACATTACATTGTTCTCTCGAAGCCGACTGGTTCTGTGAATGCAGGCCACTCGACTCAGCACCGGACACGCCACCCCTCGGCGCAGGTCACCCCCCCCCCCCCCTGTAGTTACCGGGGGCCGGCGGAAGGCGGGTCAGTCTGAAGATACATCAGCGCACGGGTCAGCGCCTCAGTACGTGGGGTAGGATACGGTGAGGGGATCAGTCTAGGAATCAATGGTGTCACCATGTCAGAAGGGGCTACCGGAAGGCCGCACGGTCAGTCTGGGTCGGGTTACGGTGGGTCAACGGTTCAGGTCAGTGGGGTTCGATGGGGGACGGGTCAGCTGGGGGTTGTCGCCGGGTGGAGTGAGCGCTGGGTCAGCCGTCGGGCCGGTCGGAGACAGAGAGGTGAGCTCGGCCGGCCGGTGACGGGATCTCAGGTGGCCGGCCAGGAGATGATTGTGCGATACAGAGTGCGGAGCGAGAGGCGCGGGGGGGGGGGACAGGCGAGGACGGCGCACAAGGGCAGAGCCGCAAGGAGCACCGAGTGAGCAGAGGATCTATCCACATACATGTATATGGCATTTCCATATCTATATGGCCATTCCGGACCTTGTACCATTGCGTGCAGAATGTGCAGCAAATGATTTTGTGGTGCTGTGGGGCTGTTCACCACATATCAGTGACTGGGTTTTACGTTAATCAGAAATGGAGAATATCAACCTGGTGCGTGTTCCAAAAATTCAATCAGTTCGATCCAAACGGCCCCAAGTAAAAGAATTAATTAAAAGAGCGGGTTGTTATATTTAAATTACAAAAACGAAGTCAAAAACCAAAACAGCGAATCAGACAATGGAGCGACGAAGAGACGAGAATGAAATCCAAGTTTGCCAAATATGCCCTGCCTAATCTAAGTTATAAATCCCGGACAGAACGGGCCAAATCGCGGAGCCAGACGTGACGCGTCTGCTCGGGCCAAGAGCTCGGCCAGAAGTCCCTGGGAGCGCGCGGCCCGACGCAGCGGGCCGGGCCCAGACATGCGCAGAAGCACTCGGACACCACGTGGCTGCCGATCGGAGCGCGGATTGGTCACTGGCCGACGCACTGCGGCAGCGCAGGCCGCAGCCACGCGGTCGCATCGTGATGGGACAAAGTTCACGAACAGACACGTCCTGGGCCGCCCCCCAGCGCCGGGGCGGGGTAGCGACGTCACAAGTCGGCGCGCGAATCGGTCTGCGCCGGGAACTCCCGTGCCGGCCGGCGACACACGTGGTTACCACAGTACTCACCGCCTCAGCGCGGAGCGCATACACGATAAGCCAAAACAATCACTTTTCACATCACTCGGTGCGCGACGTGATCGACACTTCACTGCGCGACGCAATAATCACTACACGGTACGGCGCAACGCAATTGTCACTGCACGGTCCTCCGCGACGCAAGAATCACTACACCGCGCGACGCAGTTATCACTTCACTGTCGGCGCCACGCGATCAGGATCGTCCTCGAACGCACGTACGCGGGCGCACTCAAAAGTATCGGAAGTCCGGTTGCGGCCGGAAGTGCACGCGGCGGCCGCTGCGGGTGTGCACCGGCGCAGCCGCGGACGGCTTGTCGTCCTCGTCCGGCGATGCGGAAGACGTCACTCCAGGTCTTGAAGTCCTCTTGCTGGACGGTCTTGTAGTCGTTGGCGTCTGTGTCGGCTCGTCGGGCGCCCCAGTGGCGAGGGGCCCGAGCGAGGTCGACGGTGACGGCTGCTGCTCCGGAGCCGTAGGCTCGGTACTGCTCGGACCAAGCGTGTCCTCAGGTGGCGGCATGTGTGCCGGTTTGAGTCTGTCGACGCTTACAGTGTCGTGGGCGCCAGTCGGCAGCTCCAACGTGAACACTTTAGGGCTGCGTCTGATGACTCGCATGGGGCCGCGGTACGGGGACTCCAGAGAGTGCCGCACGCGGTCAACGCGTACCCACACGTGTGTGCATGTCATGAGATCGGGTGGCACGTGTGTCGGTGGTGTGCGGGCGTGGTTCGAGCCCTGTGAGAGTGTGACGAAATCGATTTCTGACATACGCTTTGCCAGTTCTTGGACGTACTTTGTCCCGACGGGGACCTTCTCGACGGCGCAGCGGGGAAACAGCACCTGCGCGCCTGTGACGGCAGTGAATGCCGAAAAACCCGACTCTGCTGGCATGGCTCTCAAACCTAGCAAAACGACGGGTAGCGCGCGCAGCCACTCTTGCTTGCGCGCCCGGATGGCGGCTTTGAGCGTTCGGTGGACTCTTTCCACCATCCCATTACATGTCGGATGATAAGCAGTGGTTCGGAGGCGATGGAAACCTATCATTGAAGACAAGTGCGCAAACAGTTCCGATTCGAATTGGGAACCGCGGTCCGTGACTACCTGCAGTGGCACTCCGAACCGGGACACCCAAGTGTCGAGGAAAGCGGAGGCTACACTTTCCGCGGTGATCGAGACCAACGGCACGGCCTCGACCCAACGCGTGGCGCGATCGATGCATGTCAACAAATAACGAAATGGCGCGGTGAAGGGGTGCCCGTGGGGTACTGACGGGGGCAGCGGCCCGACTATGTCTATATGTACAGTTTCGAACCGCTGTGAGGGCACATCGAATCGACCGGGCGGAGAACGAGTGTGCCTGTGCACCTTGGCTTCCTGGCATGCTTCACACTCCTTCACCCATCGCGCAATGTCACGGCGCATATCATGCCAGAAATAGCGAGAGCTGATGAGACGGGTGGTGCCTTTCCTACCCGGGTGTGACAGGCCGTGGAAACGATCAAACACGGCGCGCCTGCATGCCTCTGGTACGTACGGGCGTGGATGTGGTCCAGAGTTTTCACACAGGGCTGTGATGTCGCCAGAAAGTGTTACTGGCTCCAATCGGGAGGTGTCCTGCGGGTTTGAGCGCGATCCTGGACCTGACTCGGAATCCTGATGCTCTGAATCGGCACTGCCGGCGTCTCTCTCCTTTTCCTGTTTCTGAGCTGCCGCGATAAAATGGAGGTCACATGCATCGAGGGACACTGCATTTACCGGGCGACTGAGGCAGTCCGCCACCACGTTGTCACTGCCACGAATGTACGAGACCTCCGTGATGTATTCCGTGACGACACACCAGTGGCGCTGTTGGCGGTCAGACTTAGCCGTGTGCGGGCTGTGAAAAGCGCGCACTAGTGGCTTGTGGTCTGTTCGGAGGGTAACGTGGCGGCCTTCGATCATGTCACGAAAATGGAGTGTGGCCAGATAAGCCGCGAGTAGCTCTCTGTCATACGCGGCGTACTTCTGTTGGGCCTGACTGAGCTTCCGTGAAAAGAAGCCAATGGGAACGGGTACTCCGTCCACAATCTGATGGAGCG